CCCAATAACACCATTGATGCTGAGTGAATCAAATGACACAGAACTCATGTACTATATATATATATATATAAGTCAAATGGCTTTGATGACACCTGCGACACACAACGGAGGGGCTTGGAAGTCTCGCCGCCGACGGGAGGGGCTTGCTCAGGGCTGATTCAAGATGAGGGGGCATGACTCATGATGCAATCGAGGGTTCTATAGGTCTTTGAAGTCTTTCTGCTAGTTACTATAGTTCTTATGTTTCTGGAGTGGTGGGGTCGCCAGTGCACCTTTGTCATCATGCCGACTTATCCCCACTGCTTCCCCCGGTCGTCCTGTCACACCCGGAGCTCATGTGCGACACGGGCCCACGTGGATCCTCCTGGCGCCGATGTGAAACAGTTTGGAGGGGTTCATTTGTACCAATTGGCTCATTCACTTAAGGTCTTCTCTTTAATGAATCATCCAAGCAAGAGTGCAAGGCTATCACTTAACAAACAAGTGGTCTCTCTATGAATCAACCGAGGAATAGTAGGCCATCGGCTCGCCGATAGCAAAGAGGCCCCTGCAGTGGGCTCGCTGGGACATCAAGGCGTGCTTTGGTCTGTTGTTACTTGTTTTTTTTTGCGGGCACTGAAGGATATCAGTAGCACTGGAAAAACATCAGGACATAGCAGGACATCGAACTTCATAAACTTAATAAGATGTTTGCTCCTGAACTTCGTGGCACCTGATTCTTCTGCTGACAACCACCCTAGATGTTCCAACTAACATGCTTGATTCCCATCGCTCACCACACCTCCTCGTACTCGTAGGTCTCCTCAACAAGCAGTCTGTACTGATCAACAAACGGCGCGTATCGAAAAAAAAATAAAAATAAAATAAAAATAAATAAAAACACCCGGAGGAGTAGGGGCTTAGCAGCTGCCGGACGCTGTAGGCGGGTTCTCAGCTTCAAGCCATTCCGGGACATGGGAGAACTCACCGGTCGAACGCTATGCAATGCAAACACATAGAACGCGTACGCACCACATGGTCAATTACAGTAAACCCCACAGTAAACCACGGCGTCACCGGGTGAAAAATCTATAGACCTAACAAATCGACCAGACTTCAGGCTACCTTAGTCCATGCGTCCGAATGTTCCCTACCGTCCGGAACAAAAAAAAAACGCAACATTGCGGTTGAATATAGAGTGTGGGTCAGTTACTTAAAAGGTTCAAACTAACCAACTTTCTTGACCACATCCGATGAACATCCTGGTTTAAGAAATAGTACTTAAAGAGTATATATAATTACCCTTTTATGAAGACCTAAAACATACAACTTGGCCTTCTGCTTTACAATAATGATAAACCTGCTTTTGAACTTACGTGGCGCAATGGCTTGTAACCAGTAGGTATCAATAATAAATGACTCTTTCTGGAATTGGGACAGACGCTGAATGGGGCAGGTTTGATTGGAGCCCCAGGATCCTGGTCCTAAGCCATGTCACAGGGGGCCAGGGATGGACAAAATAATGACAAAACATGTAAACACAAATATTATATCGATGTATTTTATATATACATATATATATAGGTTATATGTCAATATGCGCACAAAGTGTGCACAAACCAGGTTGACACAAGCACAATCAAAACAACTGGGTGTGTAGTAATTAGAATGGGGAGAGCCCCTGGCCCAGTTTTGGGGTCTACCGGTTCATCGTTCGTCCATGTTTCCTGCTTGTAGGGGGTCTTGTGGAGTTGCCCGAAAGGGATATCCAGTTGGGCCTTTTGCTGAGGCTTTGGCCTCTGATTCAGGGGATGGAACTTTGTGCTAGAGTCTCGGCCTCACAGGCCACAGGCTGGACGCCATCCAAACAGCATGGACCGCCTTCCAAGAACGAAGCCCCCCCCGTTTAGGGGCCGAAATCTTGGTGAAAATCGGAGCATCAGATCGGGAAGTTGGTTGCTTGACACGAACGTTTGGTGAAAATCGCGTTTCGGCACCGAAGGGAACATAAAAGGCACCGTTGTTGGTTTTACCAGAGCCTCCGGTTGGTGGTTGGACACCAGTTGACCTCGATTTTCGAGGCGAAACATCCCCTTAGATCCCGATCTCGTGGGCTTCGAACCGAGCATCGTCCAAATCTGCCACATTGAAGGTCGTCACCTGACGGCTCGATCGACGCCACGGCTCGAGGTCTTGGGGTCGAAGGATCGTCGCAGATTCGAAGACATGGACGTGGCGTCATCAACCCCATGGTGTACCCTTTCAATTCGACTCTGTGGGTTAGCTGCCATCTCAACACCGAAACGTAAAATCATTGGATTCTTCACAGGTGGGCCAAGCTGGGCGAGGTAGATGTCAAATGTTCCTCTGACTCCCTCAGTCTCCCTGAGCAAATGTACAGGTTATCATGGTTAACCCAACTTTCCATCTGTTTTTGACTGGGGAAACCCATCCAAAAAAGAGTTGGGCAGGTTGCATACGTCAGAATTGTGCAATATATGTTGTCGATGTTATCTGAGATGCAGCTGACTCTGGGACTGTGAAACGCATCTGCACTAGCGACTCGGGAGAATCCCGGTGCAGAATTCCCCAACGAAAATCCACGCACACACATACACACTCTGACATTGGTTTGCTGTTAACTCAGTTCCCAAGTTGAGAAGGAAGGTGGTGGAACGGCAAGGCGAAAAAGTCCGGTGACTTGAATTGTTGAAAAAATGTTTCACTCGCGCGGCTGGCTGCAATTCACAAGCGGCTGAAAGCTGCGGTGGGAAACCTGTTTGTGGGGAAGGTATCGTGCGAAGCCACCATGAATCAAATCGAAAGTGGAAAAGCGTGAACAACATTTCAGGTGCAGGTACGTCAGCAAGCGTCCTTGCCGATATCCTAGGATCATGTGAGGAGCTTCGTTGGATGGAGCCTCACATGTCCTCTCCATCCCCCTGGTTGGTAGTACAATTGGTAGGAAGTAACCCTTGGAGACAGGGGGTGACACACACACGGTGCCGCTTTGCGGCGCTCGTGCGAAGAGCCTGAATATGAATAGTTACCTAAAAAGCCTTAGAAACAAAAGAAAGAAACACAGAAAGAGCAGCGCTAAGAGGGCAAGAGAGAAAGGTAGGAGTAGAAAAAAGTGAATACTTAGCCCTTGACTGGGGTAGGGAAACGAGCCTCAAGAGCAACCTAAAAAGCCTGAGAGAAAGCCCAAGAAACGACCAAAAGCGCAAGAAAGAAAGCGGTGGGGGGCAGGGAGGTGTATGTACATGTGTGTGTCCGTGTGTGTGTGTATGAATACTTAGCACTCTAGAATTAT